GTTTCCTCCTCCTGAAATCACCCGGAGGCCTGTTGAAGACTTAATCCTTCAAATGAAGGCTCTCAACATTGAAAAGGTCAGTTGCTGTCCCCAGTCCCGCTCTGAGCCACCCCAGTGGGCCACCTCCCTTTCCCTGAGGCAGGGAGCCCAGAGCTGGGCCTGCTGGTGTCTGGCCTGTGGCAGCTGCTTACACAACAGTGCATCAGCAGGTGCTCCCAGGGCTTTTGGACTCCTGTCACCATTGCCTCCCTAATGCTGTGTCCCCCATGGGCACCCAGGGGATGGCTGCCTGGAGTAGAGGCAGCAGGGTCCTGCACGCTGTTCGTGGACCATCTGTCCGTGGGGTGTGCAGAACATGCTGCTGGCTCTTCCTGGCTGCAGCCTTCTCCGACCCAGTCCTCCAGTGGAGGGGGATTCCTCTAGGGTCACCTCCCCTCTCCCTGCTCCAGGGCAGGCTGAGCCAGGCAGTGCCCCGTGCCACGCTGCGTGCTGTCCTGTGAGCATTCAGATCACCATTTAACTGATGAGGAAACAGAGGCAGGGAAGTGAAGGTTTTTGTCCAGGGACACACATCTAATAAGCAATAGAACCCACATGGTCTTCTAGTGCCTTTTAAACATCTGTGCTCACTGATTTTTCTGGATGTTAATATGTTCAAAATTATAAAAACTTTAGATACTTGAGATCATCAGGGAGAAGGTGAAGCCTGTCCCACTGTCCACTATTTGTGACCTGTGTCCCAGTTATGTTTCCAAACACATAACATCCTGTACTTTATTATTGTGGTTGTCTGAATATTGTGTGATATTTTACAGGTTGCTTTGGGCTTTTTTCACCTAATAAAAATCGTGGGTGCTGGCCGGGCGTGGTGGCTCACACCTGTAGTCCCAGCACTTTGGGAGGCCGAGGCAGGTGGATTACTTGAGGTCAGGAATTCGAGACCAGCCTGGCCAACATGGTGAAACCATCTCTACTAAAAATACAAAAAAAAAAAAATTAGCCAGGGAGGCTGGGCACGGTGGCTCACGCCTGTAATCCCAGCACTTTGGAAGGCCAAGGCAGGTGGATCACGAAGTCAGGAGTTCAAGACCACCCTGGCCAACATGGTGAAACCATCTCTACTAAAAATACAAAAAAAAAAAAATTAGCCAGGGAGGCTGGGCACGGTGGCTCACGCCTGTAATCCCAGCACTTTGGAAGGCCAAGGCAGGTGGATCACGAAGTCAGGAGTTCAAGACCACCCTGGCCAACATGGTGAAACCATCTCTACTAAAAATACAAAAAAAAAAAAATTAGCCAGGGAGGCTGGGCACGGTGGCTCACGCCTGTAATCCCAGCACTTTGGAAGGCCAAGGCAGGTGGATCACGAAGTCAGGAGTTCAAGACCACCCTGGCCAACATGGTGAAACCATCTCTACTAAAAATACAAAAAAAAAAAAATTAGCCAGGGAGGCTGGGCACGGTGGCTCACGCCTGTAATCCCAGCACTTTGGAAGGCCAAGGCAGGTGGATCACGAAGTCAGGAGTTCAAGACCACCCTGGCCAACATGGTGAAACCATCTCTACTAAAAATACAAAAAAAAAAAAATTAGCCAGGGAGGCTGGGCACGGTGGCTCACGCCTGTAATCCCAGCACTTTGGAAGGCCAAGGCAGGTGGATCACGAAGTCAGGAGTTCAAGACCACCCTGGCCAACATGGTGAAACCATCTCTACTAAAAATACAAAAAAAAAAAAATTAGCCAGGGAGGCTGGGCACGGTGGCTCACGCCTGTAATCCCAGCACTTTGGAAGGCCAAGGCAGGTGGATCACGAAGTCAGGAGTTCAAGACCACCCTGGCCAACATGGTGAAACCATCTCTACTAAAAATACAAAAAAAAAAAAATTAGCCAGGGAGGCTGGGCACGGTGGCTCACGCCTGTAATCCCAGCACTTTGGAAGGCCAAGGCAGGTGGATCACGAAGTCAGGAGTTCAAGACCACCCTGGCCAACATGGTGAAACCATCTCTACTAAAAATACAAAAAAAAAAAAATTAGCCAGGGAGGCTGGGCACGGTGGCTCACGCCTGTAATCCCAGCACTTTGGAAGGCCAAGGCAGGTGGATCACGAAGTCAGGAGTTCAAGACCACCCTGGCCAACATGGTGAAACCATCTCTACTAAAAATACAAAAAAAAAAAAATTAGCCAGGGAGGCTGGGCACGGTGGCTCACGCCTGTAATCCCAGCACTTTGGAAGGCCAAGGCAGGTGGATCACGAAGTCAGGAGTTCAAGACCACCCTGGCCAACATGGTGAAACCATCTCTACTAAAAATACAAAAAAAAAAAAATTAGCCAGGGAGGCTGGGCACGGTGGCTCACGCCTGTAATCCCAGCACTTTGGAAGGCCAAGGCAGGTGGATCACGAAGTCAGGAGTTCAAGACCACCCTGGCCAACATGGTGAAACCATCTCTACTAAAAATACAAAAAAAAAAAAATTAGCCAGGGAGGCTGGGCACGGTGGCTCACGCCTGTAATCCCAGCACTTTGGAAGGCCAAGGCAGGTGGATCACGAAGTCAGGAGTTCAAGACCACCCTGGCCAACATGGTGAAACCATCTCTACTAAAAATACAAAAAAAAAAAAATTAGCCAGGGAGGCTGGGCACGGTGGCTCACGCCTGTAATCCCAGCACTTTGGAAGGCCAAGGCAGGTGGATCACGAAGTCAGGAGTTCAAGACCACCCTGGCCAACATGGTGAAACCATCTCTACTAAAAATACAAAAAAAAAAAAATTAGCCAGGGAGGCTGGGCACGGTGGCTCACGCCTGTAATCCCAGCACTTTGGAAGGCCAAGGCAGGTGGATCACGAAGTCAGGAGTTCAAGACCACCCTGGCCAACATGGTGAAACCATCTCTACTAAAAATACAAAAAAAAAAAAATTAGCCAGGGAGGCTGGGCACGGTGGCTCACGCCTGTAATCCCAGCACTTTGGAAGGCCAAGGCAGGTGGATCACGAAGTCAGGAGTTCAAGACCACCCTGGCCAACATGGTGAAACCCTGTCTGTAGTAAAGATATAAAAAATTAGCTGGGTGTGGTGGCACACACCTGTAATCCCAGCTACTCAGGAGGCTGAGGCAGGATAATCACTTGAACCCAGGAGGCAGAGGTTGCAGTGCACTTAGATTGCACCATTGCACTCCAGCCTGGGCGACAGGGCAAGACTCTGTCTCAAAAAAAAAAAAAAAA